AGGCCACACTTAGTTCTTTTTGCAGTATTTCTCGAGTCAAAGGTTCCCCTGTGGGGGTAGGAGGGGGTTGGGGGGGGAGTAGTGACTGTTATTTAGTTTCCGGAGCAGGTGAATTACCAGCGCTCTTAGAGGCATTTATTTTTTGCTGCTTAGAAGCCATTTCACATTTAATCTTCTCCTCCCAATTACTAAATCCAAGCAAACCGCTTGTCCAGCAATTACTATTTAGCTTAGTAATAAATCACTACTGAGTTAATGATCTTTAAATGTTCTGAGCTCCGTGAAAATCTGTAACATCAGAGCCTGACCCCGCCTACAAAGCTGTTCAGCACCATTTTCTTTGTGTTTCTAGCAAGTAGTTTATCAGAAGGAATTCTTTAAAAAATGGAGTTAGTCTGTGATACATACAATTAGAAGTTCTCCAGTACTAGTCTCCCCGTGTTGGAATCAGTAATAAATCAATCCTTGAGCTGAGGGTGGATGTGTGCCTTCATTCTGCAAAAAGGCAGAAAAAGTCCTTGATGCGGAGAATTCACTGGGTTGATGGGCGGCTCACACCTTCCACCCCCAGATTTATGTTCTGGGGGGGTTGAATGGAGCACTACCCAAACACAGCTTTTCTCACCTCCTTTCCTAAGCCCGGAGAAGAAGTAATCAAACTGTCAAACAGTTGATGGATACTGTTTAGACAGATTTACGCAGCCAAGGATCCGGAGCTGTTAAAAACAACAACTCCTCTCAGACCATGCCCCGTAACTACAACTTTATTGTAAATCAGAATTGCCAAAATTAGATATCAATCATCAGAGACGCCAGCATGATTATTAGTGTAAGTGAGTAAGAATTTCAGAATGGGCACCCACACATTTAAGTTGTTTCAAATAGCCTCTGCTGAAATAAATCATATCCTGGAGCTTGTTTGGTTTCAACTGTGCAATCACTTTTGTAATTTTAGAGCCTGAGGAGGAGAGGAAGGAAACAAATAAAACTTCATGGTCTAATTCCCTCTTTGGTGGGGTAATTCTTCCTGGGTGTACAGCAATGAAATGATCTTCCCAAACTGAACTGGGATTGAAAGACCTATCATCTAGATAGAACAGGGGTTATGTGGCCTATGGCCAATGCCAGGCCGTTATTTGCAACTGGGCTGTGTGAGTGGTGGGCATAAGCACAGCATATGTCATGCAAGCAGAGTACGCCAGCACTTGCAGCCCCCAATGTGTACCAGCGCTCATCATCCCCTCGCGCTTGTGGCATGTGCTGATGCTTGCATTCCCCCTCATGCTTGCAGCAGGTGCACACCTGCTCCATGCACAAAACCATCTCCTCTTCCCCCTCCTCCTTGCCAGCCTGCCAACCTGAAAAGGTTGGGGAACACTGATGTAGAACAGCTCTATGTAGTGGAAGTGCCTCAATGAGAGAGCATTTGGGTTACTTTGTTCTTCATCTGACTTGTCTGTTCTGTTTGCATTTGTTCTGGGAATTTTTAGATGGAATAGGTTGTATATCCAAAATGGGGACCCCAAAAGCAGTTTGTTGGGATATCTCTTGAGATGATAAAATATGGAACTGGAGAATTGAGAAACAGATTTCTTGATATGGCAATGTAGTCAATCAGATACGGCCAATTCAATGAGGGAACTCTGCCAGATAATCAGTAAGTGATGCCATTCATAATTTACAATGTTTGTAGCGGATGTAAGTCCCTAAAATCTCCAATATGGTATTTAGATTCTCTAATTAGGAGGGACATCCAATGAGCATAAGAAAGCAATCAAAGTTTGGACCTTATGCCGTGAAGGTTGAAATTGCCCATTGTTGACTCAGAACAGTAATAGCTTACAACCACTACAAAATACAGGGATTCAAAAACCTTACATGTCAAAAACTGTATTTGGAAGGTTGCCTTTATCTCCGACCCATTGTAGATGCAGCTGAAAGTTGACTTCAGTTGATTTTCAGCCAAATTTCATTAGAATTTAGTTATTTTCAGGGAACATTCAGTTTTTAGTTTCATGAAGCACACTATGTCCAATATGTGAAGGAATTTGTCAAGGTTGGGCTGCAGTGTCATCTGATCTGTTCCCAGGGAACCTATGGCCCATCGAAATTTACCGCTTCCACAGGAGCTTCAAAAGTAAAATAAAACATATACATATATACAGTATATAGGAAAAAAGAGAACTTCTTAATTCTGATATTCACTTCGTGGAGCATGTAATCTTTTCAACCCCCCAATGACACACCAACATCAACAAACTTAAACAGTTTTTTATCCATCCCATGATATTAAGTCTTCTGTGGAAAGAAGTTAAGCCTCCTCCTTTTCTATGGAGGTACTGCCTCTGACTTTTAATCTTTTCCTAAACTTCAGACTGCTATCTGTATGGATAGCTAAACAGGCAACAGTTTTCACTTTTGCAAACCCTCTCATGCCAAATAAGTGGCAAAACAAATGGAAAGCTGCATGATTGGTTAAGCATAATTTTGTAAAAAAATTATGTACTGCTTACTTACCAGTATATGTTGTTTGAAGAGAATGCTTATATATCTTCCAGCTTATCCATGCAATAAAAGGTATGAGAACAGCAATAGGAATGCTGAAGGCTGCAGCTCTTCTATGATATTTGTTATCAATTATAGGACTGTTTTTTGAATTCTTTAACTCAACTGAATAAGAACCATAATAAGGAACATGGGGAGAAAATAAAAAAAATCCTTGAACATTATTGGTTTACAATTACTTCACACTAAATAGCTTTTAAAAGTAGCTATGTTAAATTAAGAATCATTCAAGAGTTTTCTATCCATATCTAAACTAGTACCTCAGTGGAATTCTTGCTTTCCCAACATGGGATCAGATCAGAAACTGTTTTGAAAAATTCCAAACAGCAAATTTTAAAACAATTCACCAAATAACATGGCTAATAAATTCTGAGTACCCAATATGGCTAACAATATTTCCCTATTTTAATATTTAATATATTTTAATTGTGATTAAAATAATGAACTTAAAAAATCTTTAAAAGGGGCATTATCCCATTGCAAAGGAAAGAACCAGCTGTCTAAGTTTTACATAACACCAGGGGCATTTTTTGAGCATAAAGTAATGGTAGTTGCAGCCTGCTGTGTCCATCTGCTTATCATCTTTAGCATTCAGAGGGAAAGACAAGGAGTAACTTCATCAATCTACCTTCTAGTTGCCTTTTTTGTGTGAATGGCCATGCAGTTCATAGCAGTTATTTTCTGAAAGTACTCATGGCATGTTCTTAAATCCCAAATTTATTAGCCCTGTAAATTTGGGAATCCCACCCTACATTGTGTATAGCACCTCTTCAAAGACAGTAAATACCTGAATCATATGATGCAAGTACACTGTTATTAAGATATCAATTATTAAGAGCCTTACCTGCTTACTTATTCTATTTTGCTCATAGCTGATTATGGCACTTAATAATTGATTACCCCTTTCCTCATCATGTTATCTCTCTCATCCTAATCTTTTATTGAAATTGCTATGTCAGCACATTGGAAAATAGATGGAGTGTTGGGCAGAATATATCCAGAAACCAACTTTTCCCAAGTAAAAGAGAAACTGAAGTGCTAGAAATGCTGAAAAAATCAGATGGCAGTAGGAAAAGAGATAAAGATATGATGAGAAAAGAAGGAGGAATAAAATACTCTTGATGCCTCCAGATGACAAAGTCCTTATTCTACCATTCAAAAGAACCAAGACTTGTTGAGAAAACATAATAGAGATAGAGGGCAGTATCCTTGGGATGCTTCATACAATTCCATGTATCAGGTGAGGAAAAACTTCAATTTGGAAATCCCCTATATTGCAAGAGGATCACAAGGACAGGCAGATTCCTACTTTCAGGAAGGAAACAGGCAAGGAAGCTTTGCCGACTTGTGTTGGGGAGTGAAATGGAAGTGCAGAATTGCCTGTAATAGCCATGAGGGCAGCTCCAGTAAGCTAATGCAAGAAGGAGAATTCTTATCCCAGTACAACTGTCAAAGCACTCTGGCATTTTGAACGGGAAGCAACAGCCAAGAGGCTGCAGTTTGGCAGCAGGTAAGTTTCATCTTCTGAATTAACTAAGCAACCCAATTACAAAATATTAATTGAATTGTCTTTTTATTCTTTCCAACCCAACTGAAGATTGGGATGGGTTTATGTCAGAGGACTTGGGATTCTTGTCTTTCAGCAGGATAACTTTCCACAAACTGAAGAGAATAGAATAAAATTTGGTGTCAGGAGGAAAAGCTGGTAATAGAACAATTATGTTAAAGATAAGCTAGATCAGGTCAGACTATGGAGAATGTTCCAGAAAAATGCATCCTTAAGAAAGAGACAACTGGACAATAATTTGGAATGCAGCCTTTCCCCTATTCTGAACTCTCTTCCATCTTCCAAGTCTCATAATCTGGATCAGAGCCTTTATTAAGTGGTTGGAAAGTCTTTCAGAAGCCAGAATTGGCATGTTTTCCTATTTTAATATACACAGAAGTATATTGCCACATCAATTCTTCCTTACAAATATCAATGGACAACAAGACATAAACTATAAGGAAAAACTTACTTGTAGTAGTAATATTTTGATGCAGTTGCTTATGTTCAATTGTACACCCTAACTTTATATCAGAAGCTATTTTCATCTTCAATGTACTGAATACAGTGAAAGACCCATCAAGCTCTTTGGTGAACTGCACAGTTATGTTCATGGTGCTATTGTCCATTTCATTGATCCAATAAAGCCTTTGTTCTGGATAGCCATGGCTTGAATTGCACATAAACATTATTTCTTCTCCGAGCTGAACAGGACCTGTTATTACTGGTTTCCTGTAATTTGCTGGGGGAGAGGGTGGAGAGAAAGAAGAGCAGTATAATTTTACAGCCATGTTTCCCCACAATTTTATCTGCTACTTTTTAAGAAGGTATAAGATTGGAAAGAAATCTTTTTAGAACTAGATAATAATTTATACACTCCATCAATAGATTATACTGCCAAAAACTTGGTAGGAATGAAGTATTCTCTGGAACTCTACAGGAAAGTCTGTCAGATTAACCCCTTTAATTCTTTGTAGTCAAATGTACCAAACAGCACAGTTGGGTTTGGTATCTCACATCCATTTCCAAGTCATAATACACAATGGCACATCTAGCATATGCTCTAATATAGAGTACAAAATTAAAAGATGTATCCCCATACTTTCAGTGCCTACCCAGTCCTCATCAATGAGTTTGGAGGAAAAGGAATTAAGTATGTGATGCCCAAGAATTCTGTTTAAATTGTAATAAAAGGCAGTAGGCATTATAAAACTAATTTAAGTGGATATTTGAGATTGCCTGCATCATTGTTGTTCATGTTATCCTCAAACCATCCAATTGCAGACAACTGTAAAGGGATACACTGATGAAATAAACTTTTGCTAAGAGTGAATAATCTGCTATACACAACCATAGGTGCAGGATAATTTCTAAGCACATGCATCTGTCCATAACCACAAGTGTTTCCAATTGTGGCAGTTACCAGGAGGGAGGAAATATCTCCCTTCTTTAGTCATACAGGAATTAACTTAATTACCTTTGTTTTATTAATTTATTAATATATTCATTTATTTATTTTAATTGAATTTATTAATATTTTAGGCAGTTTTCTCCTTTCATTTTTTGCTTGCTCATAGTCTTTTCAACACCAGAGTCAATGAAGAAAATACAGAAAAATAACTCTTCAATGCGCTTTTAGAAAAACCAACACCCTATTCCTGTGATGGCAAACCTATGGCATGCGTGCCTTGGTGGCATGCGGAGCCATTTCGGAGGGCACGTGAGAAGTTGCTCTGTCAGCTCCAGTGCATATGTGCACGCTGGCCAGCTGATTTTTGGCCGTTTTTCACCCTCCAGAAGCTTCCCTGAAGTCTCCAGAGAGCAGAAAACTGCCCAATGTGCAAACCGGAAGTTTGGGAATGGACTTCCGGTTTGTGCATTGGACTGTTTTTGCCCTCCCCGGGCTCCAAGAAAGTCATCCACACATACGCGTGCATGCACAGGGGGCACAGCATTAAATTATGGGGGTGAGCATGCGAGCGCACGCAATAGTGGGTGCAATAGTGCAGGTGTGCTTTTGGAACCCGAGGCAAAAAAGCTTCGCCATCACTGCCCTATACACTTTTCTTTATGCTAACATCTTATTTCTTCTTTTCAACTCTGCATATATCATTTCACTAATCAGTCTGTTTTGTAGATCTCCCTTTTGGATTTTTCTTGGTATTCCATCTCACATCCCCCCTTTAAGAATTGTCTCTCCAACTTTGAATCTGCTTTCTTCCAGCAGCTTCAGTCTATACAACTTGGTTTATCTGGCACAAAGATAAAAACCACTAATAACCTTTTCTGCTTAACAAATCTGCCCCTTCTAAATCTTCCCTAATTTATATCTAAACCTAAAAATGCACATGAGAAGTTTCCCACCGTCTATCCAAGAGTTTTTTATGGATGGGCAAGCTGGGGAAAAATTATCTTTGAGAGCATTTTTCAACCCAATCTTTATAACAACAACTTATCTGGCCAACAAAGCAATAATTTTTAAGTATTTGCTCAGAAGTCCTTACCTGCCACTTTGAGAGATATGGATTCATTATGAATGAGCTTAAACTGTCCATTTGTGTTTTTCTGTATTATGCACTGATAAATAAATTCATCTGCTATCCTGATGTTTGACAGCTGCAAAGAAGCACTGCCTTGTTTTGGCTCATTTAATAGAGTCCGTTGTTTGAATTCTTCACACTGGTGCACTTCCATATTTTCATTAGGAAAATAACCAGCTACAAAGCATGAAAACCTGTCTTTTATTTGCCAGAATATTCGATTTCTATTGTAGTTTAAGGATTCTTCTTCTGGATAACAGCATTGCAATTCAATACTGCTTCCTATTATGCCAATCACTTCTGTTTCAGCTATAAAAGAAAGAAAATACAAAAAAAATGCATTGCATCATATAATCTACTTTTCATTTTCACAAAGTTAAAATTGAAGTCACTGTTCCAGATTCAGCTTTGTTTGATTCTCTTCACTCCTGAAATTCTTATATATTATTCAGAAGTACATGGGGCTGCCCTTGAAGAGTGTTCAGAAGCTTCAACTGTATTCAACACATGAGCTGCATTGACTGCTGGTGTTCTTCATGCTTGGCACTGGGTTACCTGGGCAGTCGCCTATTCGGAGTGGGCCATGCAAGAGACAGGCTGGCATGCATGCACGTATATGGCTCAACTTGTGTGAGCAGTGGGCCGGCGTGCACACACGTGTGCAGCTCAACTTGCAGTTGAGCTATGTGTGCATGCATGTGTGTACCAGCCTACCGTTCGCACGAGTTCAGCTGTGCACATGTGCTGGCCTGCCTCTTGCACAACCAGGTTTTCCCCCACCAGAGCCAGGCCACAAAGGTTGGGGACCACTGACCTAAAACACCTTTTTCTCTCATCCAATTTAATCCAGCAAGTTGGCCATGTTAGAGATCCAATGAGCCAAGCAATGTTGCCTGGTGGGGATAAAAGAAGTGCTTTCTCCTGCTCCTGCCCTTCAGAGATTAGAATGATCCCAGCCCTTTGGCCTTTCATAAGGCTGTAATGATCCAACTGCATGCCTGGAGTCCTCAGGGTAGGGCCCCAAGTATGTTAAGCGCAACAGTTTTACTTGTTCTTGGATATTTATTTTATATTGTTTTCATTGTTTTATGTTTTTATGATGTCCATCACCCAGAGACATTTGTTGAGATGGGTGGCTATAGAAATTAAATAAATAATAAATAAAATAAAATAAAGGTCACTGGGCTCCTGTATTTAAATTTGTACTGAAACTTTATTTGTTCTGGATATTTATGTACAGATCTGTTATGCAGCTGTGACAATGCATTTGTGTGCATTCTCTTTATTCAGTGTTTGCAGTTCATACTGGAAAAACGAGTAATTGATTTGCTCATATGGCCATCTGTCTTGCAGCAGTGAATTTGGGCAGCCAATTGTTTAAAATATCAACAGAAAACATACACAACTGAGGAAAACACAATGGCAAATTCAAAAGAAGAATGGACTTGACTGAATTCTTAATAAGAAACATCCCTGCTGGCCTCTATTCCTCTTTATCATACCTGTTCTATCAACAATCTTTCTACTGATATAATTTCAGTTGAATCTAATGAAAATATAATTCCATCCAATACCTGGTCTGTCCTTGTCTTAGTTGTCATTATCACAGCAACTAAGCTTAAAATCTATATTGGGGTTCAGATTATTTAAGGAAAAGTCCCTGAGAATATCAGTATTTTATTGAAAAATATTTAAGAGTAAGGGAAAGTTAATTTAATAGTTCAACTGCATTTAGAATAATACAGGCAACCACATTAAAAAAAATATCCTTGCCTTTGTATAATTTGCCCTGAAGTCAAAATAATTGTGATAATTTGCATTAACACATACAGTATTTAAAAACTTGCTTTATACTTGAATAAATCTAATATTATAATAACTTACCAGATCTCCAAACCCAAAGAAACAAGACCAAGAGTCCAAAGCTAAAATAAAATATAAAACCATACATTTCAAATTAAACATTAGAATGTGTAATTTTAAAAATTCCACAAACTATTGAGGAAAATGTATAATAAGATTTAGCATAAGCGATATAATAAATAGGAGTAAGACGTGAACCAATTGAGTTCATTATTTTCACTATTTTATCATTTCTGTATTTAATCATAATTGTATGCTGCCACAATAAAATATAATGTTGGTAGCTTACATACATATCTAAACAGCCCATTCAAAAATAAAAACAGAACACTATAAGAAGAAAAAGAAAAAAACCAGTAATCAGGGAAAGGCTGATAAAGTATTTGTGCTTCATGCATTACCCCAAATTTCTTTTGTAAGTGTGATAAAAGGAAAACACAAGTTTTAAATACTGTGTACACAGTATTGTGTATGACATCCTTCTGAGACCACTTTCCTATTTTTATTTTAATATTTTGTCATTTTTCTATAGAGGCAGACTTAAAGGATCTCTTTTGTCTGTATGACTACTTCCTGAGATTTGGACTGAAAGGTGATTGATGGCTCAAAGTCATACAAAGAGGTTCCTTATGCATAATTAAACCAGGTTCTTCAAGTCACAGGAAGTAAATATCCATTTTTCTACTTAAGGGTGAGATGCCCTTTAAGAACTTTATCACATGACAAATAACTTTGTGCTGGCCAGAGTTTCTTTCAGTAATAGCGATAGCGATAGCAATAGCAATAGCAATAGCAGTTAGACTTACATACCGCTTCATAGGGCTTTCAGCCCTCTAAGCGGTTTACAGAGTCAGCATATTGCTCCCAACAACAATCCGGGTCATCATTTTACCCACCTCGGAAGGATGGAAGGCTGAGTCAACCCTGAGCAGGTGAGATTTGAACAGCCAAACTGCAGAACTGCAGTCAGCTGAAGTAGCCTGCAGTGCTGCATTTAACCACTGCGCCACCTTGGTTCTCTAGATCAGTGTTTTTCAACCACTGTGCTGCGGCACACTAGTGTGCCG